GAAATTCGTGGGCGATCCCAACTCTCAAGATGGTAGGAAGCTACCCGGGCGGGTGATGGACTGGTACCTTGCCCCTGGTAAGCCTCAGCGTGTTTCGGTAGGATCTCCCCGCTGAGCCAGTGGCAAGGCCCTATGGCGGTGTAACCAGGGGCAATTCTATGGACTCTGGCCACTAGGCCGTGCTGCCCTGTAACCAGGGGCAATTCTATGGACTTCAGCCACTAGGCCGTGTTGCCCTACAATGAGGGCGTGAACCCTCACAATGACCTATGAGGGAAGATGGAAAACATTGCGTTTGTTTAGTCTGGAGAAGAGAAGCCTGAGAGGGGACATGATCACAGTTTTCAAGTACATAAAAAGTTGTTACAAAGATGCGTGAGAAAATTTGTTCTTCTTAACCTCTGAGGATAGGACAGGAAGCAATGGGCTTAAATTGCAGCAAGGATGGTTTAGATTGGACATTAAGAAAAACTTCCTAACTGTCAGAGTGGTTAAGCACCGAAATAAATTGCCTAGGGAAGTTGTAGAATCTCCATCATTGGAGATTTTTAAGAGCAGGTTGGACAAACACCTGCAGGGATGGTCTAGATAATACATAGTCCTGCCTTGAGTGCAGGGGACTGGACTAGATGACCTTTTGAGGTCCTTCCAGTTCTATGATTCTATAAACCAAAGGCCAAAGAAGAGCAGAATCAAAGGAGTCACTTCGGGGGATTCTCACTGTCATTGTCCCCAAGGCAGCTGTCTCAGGTTTACTAAGTTGTTTTATGTTCCAGCCTTTATACAGTCTCTCCTGGGAGTGCCCCCTTTCATGGGCTGGGCCTAGTTTTAGCTTTTGGCAAGCGTGACCCTCGGGGCTCTGAGACTGGGCCTCCTTGTCTCAGCACACCTTGTTTCTTTCTGTGGCTCCCAGTGAGTCCAAATGAGTAGATACTCCTGACAGAACCTGTGAACATAAGAACGGCCCACTGCATCAGACCAATGGTCCATCTAGCTCAGTGGCCAATGCCAGGTGCTTCAGAGGGAAAGAACAGAACAGAGAATCATCAAGTGATCCATCCCCTGTCACCCATTCCCAGCTTCTGGCAAACAGAGGCTAAAGACACCATCCCTGCCCATCCTGCCTGTGACACTGGCAGATGAGGTGTTAGCTCTTGCAAAAGCCCCCATGTCTTAATTGAACATAGACAGATGCATAGCTGGAATCAGTCTGGCTCACCTGTGTTAGTATTGTTAAAACAGGTATTGGAATGATAAGAATGTGTTTAGACTTTATTGAATGCTTGTGAGTTGCTGCCTGGGTTAATATCTGATTAGTTGCATTGTGAGCCTCTGTGGCTATGTAAATCACCAGACAGGATAGAGACTTTACCTAGGTGAAGTACTGATTGGCAACAGAATGCATTACACCCTGCCTGGCAGGAAAGGTCCATCAACGCCTCCTGCCGCGAGGGCTCCATTCCGGACTGCCCTGCAGGGCGCTCTGGTTCTCTGCGCCGCCGCTCCCTACAGGGCAGCCGGAGCGGAACAAGGAAAAAAAAAGCGGCCGTGCCACCCTACGATTGGGCAGAATGCTGCCTCCAACAATCTGCTGCCCCAAGCACCAGCTTGCTCAGCTGGTGCCTGGAGCTGGCCCTGTGTAAGGCAGTGGTTCTCAACCAGGGGTCTGGGGCCCCCTGGGGGGCCACGAGTAGTTACCAGGTGGGCTGCCAAGGAAGGCCAGCATTAGATTCGCTGAGGCCAAGGGCAGAAAGCTGAAGTCCGAGCGCATGGGGCTGAAGTCCAGGGCCCTGAGCCCCACCACCCGGGCTGAAGCCAAAGCCTAAGTAATGTAGTTTTGTGGGGGCCCCTGTGGCATGGGATCCAAGGCAGTTGCCCTGCTTGCTACCCCTTAACGCCAGCCCTGGCTTTTGTATGCAGAAAGCCAGTATTGTGGCCCACATGGGCCATGGAGTTTTTATAGTATGTTGGGGGGGTGGAGGGGCTCAGAAAGAAAAAGGTTGAGAACCCCTGGAGTAAGGGACCATCTGTCACAAAGGTGAGCTCGCCTGCGTGGTGAGATATATGGGATGACCCAAGGGGACTGTCGGTGATCCCATGTTAATGCTGTTACAGTGCCGGAAGCGTTTGCACTGGATACTTGGTGAAATCTACATATAGACCTCACAACCTATTTGGGGTTTGTTTCCCTGCTTCTTACCAGTCTGCCTGAGGCTGGTGCTCATGCCCTCGAGTCACTGAAGACAGCGTTACAGAGACTTACGGCACAACGCTGTGACGAACTGGGACTGTTCTTACTGTGATCTTTGAATGCTGACAGGGGAGTGTGGCTAGGATAGTCTGCACTGGGGGATGGGAGACTGACCGAAGGAGAATACCTGAGCATGTAACATGAGAACCCAGGAAGGGGTTGGAGGCCAGGTGACACCTTGGCTGGGGATACTGAACAAAGGCTGAGGGAGGGGTCGCTGAAGGCAGAGTTTCAGGAGCTGGCTGGTGATGTGGCTGGGAGGCAGACAGGGCTCTGACCTCCCAAAGGGGCTGGGGCATCCTGGGACCCCAAGATGGACCTAACTGAGGGGGGTCCTGTTGTCTGTGCCTGCAAGACCTGTCTTGGACTGTATTCCTGTCGTCTAAATAAACCTTCTGCTTTGCTGGCTGAGAGTCATGGTGAATCGCAGGAAGCTGGGGGTGCAGGGCCCTGAGTCCCCCAATACTCCGTGACAACAATGCCACCAGCAGCAATTGGCAGCAATGCAGAGCAGGCTTTACAGTGACACAGTGTGGGCCAAATGGTCCATAGACTCAGTGAAGCCCCAGTTCTCCTCCAGTGCACATCAGCATCCCGGCAACCTTCTAGGAGGGTCAAGGCTGCCACTCCTTGAGTGATGATGGATCTCCAGCATTGCATCACCCGCGCCCCATGACCCACCTTGTCTCCTGAGACAGAGGTGAGTGACAGAGAGTGCACAACAGATCCTGGGGGGTAGTGAAAGGAATAACAAAACACACCTTCTGAGGGTCACCGCTCAGGAAGTGAAGGTGACAGGGATTGTGGTGGCAGTAAAGGGGGGGGGAGGGAGTGGGAGCAGCACCTTCAAGGGCAATGCTGCCAGTGCGTCACCCCACCACATCAGGCATGGGGCTGATAGGGGACCATTCCCTGGGCCTGGATGCCTGTGAAGGGCTATATAAATCCCACACTGGCACAGAAGTAGTTGAACTGCTGCTTTAGTCTGGACTGGCCCAGCCCCTCCACACCTGCAAACCATGCCAGGACTGGAACAGGAGTTAACAGAAGAGACTCTGGCCTTCATTGAGGGAGGGTGGGGATAGCTGGAGCTCAAAGGGGGAGCAGGCTCAAACTTCCACTGGAGACTCAGTAAACTTTGAAGGGGACTGAGATGCTCCCAGGGCCCCCAGAGGTAAAAGGGGCCCATATCCTCATGGGATCTGTGCACAGTCCCCCCACACACACTTCTTTTCTTTCATTACTTTATTTATCCCTGTTTGCCAACAGTCGGGTTTTTTGCTGTTTCACCTGGTACCCCGAGAGAGGAAGATGGTGCCCCGAGGCCTCAGCCAGAGCCCTGACACACGAGAACGACATGCCCCTGTAGCACTCCTGGGGCAGGGGGAAATTAGACTCTCAGAGCTGCACCCCAGAAAGCCTGAGGCCCAGCAGTCTGGCACCAGGTTGATAGGAGAGAAAATGGGGCACAGTCGGGGGAGAGGAACAGAGACCTTCTCAGGGATCTGAGGGAAAGGGGGGGGGTCACTCTGGATGTTGCTCGTTGCTCTCTAGGGAGAAAGGGGGCAGGGCTGGAGGATGGGGGGTCCCCACGGGAGGGGCCAGCGGTAAATCCGAGGGGATCTCAGCCCCCCCTTTCTCTCCCCGCTCCTCGGGGGTCACCGACTCTTCTCCTCCCCCGGCCATGTCCGGGCTGCACAGACATTTTCCATCCGCCCCTTTCCCAGGTCTCCCGCCCGGCAGCCCCCGCCCGGCCCCACGCAGGGACCCCAGTGGGGGCTGGTTCTCCCCCGTGGTGCCCCAGGGCAGAGCCTGGCCGGGCCCG